CGACCTCTTTTTGAGAGAGCCGTGCTGGGCAGGGCTCATCAACCTATATCGAGTGATGTGCTCGCAGAGAGCATTCCTAACAATGGTTTCTAAGCCCTTACACAGCACGCTGGTTAAGCTTACGGGTCTGTAGGTACCAGGTTGCTTCCTATCTCCACTCTTGTGGATGGATACCACTGTGGCAGTGGTAAGCGAGCAGCATCCAAACGCGGCTTGATTCAAAAAGTTCAAGGTCATTTGATCGATCCCCATTCTCCAAGCCATAAAAAATCCCAACTGGAGACTTCTGTTGCTGAAAAATTATTTCGCTTATTACAGCACGCCGGTTTCAATAACGCAGCAAACAACCAAAAAAATTAAGGGGGAATTTATTTAATTTAAAAAAATAAAATAAATAATCGGTAATATAAATCAAGGAGTTCTCGGAAGGGGAATCTACCAATATTAAATCTTTAGGAGTTACACCTTCCGTATAACTGTCAAAAGCTATTCTAAATACTATTCTGAATGTAAATGACTTTCTCGACGGAGTCTGTGATTACTTTGTCGGACAAACGTCGTGGGCATAGCATGAAACTCTCCAAACCGCGCGCCCGTGGACAAATCCGCCAGTTTTCTCCCATTGACGTGCTCATTCCCCCTGGGAATTGTTTGGGTAACGAAGTAGGTGTTGCCTTCACAACATCTGATATCAATTGGAATTTATACCGATATAATGGGCCCTGAACAGAATTAATAATCCAAAGACAAATAAATCAAATTGACGTGGCCCTAAAAGGGCCGTTTTCAGTCACTTCGGGCTTTTGACGTCCACGCTCATCGACTGAGGCAATGCACTCAAACGTATGCTTCCTCTCCACTGAAAACAGCGCAACAGCTGTGTGTTTGGCGCCCGCATTTCTGGCACTGGAGCCATTGTTGCTCATCGTCCAAAAAGACCGTATTCCACGCAGATTGGCAGACACTGCAACAGTTGGCCTTCATCGGTGATGTCGGATTGGTTTGCCTTCTGCGTTTAGTGTCCAGTTTGTACTTCCCGGATGTCGTTGTTGACAGTCTTCGGAACACGGCATGTTCCAGTGGGTCACCTAGGACTATTTTGTCATCTTCACTGTCGACTGATTGACTCACTAAAACTGATTTCCACTTTTCTATCGAACCGCTTGTTGAAGCTTCTGGTGGATAATCGGCCTTTACCTTGACGCTCGTAGACGGAGGACGGGTACGCTTAATCTCCGTAGTCTGTGTTGCCAAGCTCTGTCTATCAAATAATATCTGGATATCCGGATACTTCCCTATCATAGCTGCTACACGTCGAAGTTGATTGCATTGAAAATTGTATTTGACTGTACCTATTCTATTCAAAGAGAAGCCCAGCTATTGAAGGACATTGTCTGTCTGAGCCAAATTTGATGGCTTACTCATGACGTTTTTTGAGGCCGCTATTACCACAGTGGTGTTTGGATCTAAATGCTTTTCGCTGCGGTTTATAATCCACCTATCTGGAATAAGACTTTGAATATCCCAAGTAATCAGATCGAATACCCTGGCTATATGCAAGCAGGGCAATAACCATTGCGCATAAAAATAGCACTCACATTTCGTTTCCCCTGCAGTAACTACTTTATAATCCTTGCCCTTACTATCCACGACCATGGAGAACCCTCTCCCGTGAACAATTCGTTCAATCCTACATGACTTCCAGTTACTTATTAATATATTCCGCGCAAATGGTATTACTCGTATAAGCAACGGTTTAAACGATTGCATACCGCTGGGTGTTGGATACCTCCTCATGGAATCTTTAGCAAGGCGAATTCCATGCGTCACTTCCAGTGACCTAACTCGTTGTAGCACTTTCTTTATCACATCCACTAATGAAGACCGAGGAGACATGCCTATCATGAGGTGCCTATTTTCCGTCTCCACTCGGTTGGTAGTTAGGTTTCCTAAAGTCAACCTACTCCTTACGGCATAACCTGCCCACTGCTCTCGGTATGGTAACCAAGTTTGGCGTAAATAAACACCTGCTTCTGTTCAAGGACGTTCTACGGCGGCTAGGAATTTACGAAAAGATATCTCACTTTCACAGTACACCATGTTGCGCATCCATNTTTCGAACGTTGACATACCAGATAGCTGGTTACATTTCTTCTTCATATCCTTAACGAGATGGAATCAACAAAATATCACATTAGATGACGGAAAGTATTCTAAAAACGCGTTGTACTGAGCCAAGCTATGATCAACTACTATAGTCTTGCACTGTGCAAAGACCGGGCACAGATTTCATGGCTCCCACAGTAGACCTATAGCTCTCACCGATCTCATTCGGCAAGATTGCGTAGAAGAAACT